GAATTCCCTCAATTTTCTGTATTGATGAAAAGTTTAAAGATGTTCATGTGGTCTTAAATAGATTAATGATCTTTTGTAAATGACGTGGACTTGTGTTAATTTTTTTTCTTTTTTTAAAATAAATTTATTTATTTATTTTTGGCTGCATTGGATCTTCGTTGCTGTGTGGGTTTTCTCTAGTTGCGGTGAGTGGAGGCTACTCTTCATTGCAGCGTGTGGCTTCTCATTGCGGTGGCTTCTCTTGTTGCGGAGCATGGGCTGTAGGCACACGGGCTTCAGTAGTTGTGGCACGTGGGCTCAGTGGTTGTGGCTCGCGGGCTCTAGAGCGCAGGCTCAGTAGTTGTGGTGCACGGGCTTAGTTGCTCCATGGCATGTGGGATCATCCCGGACCAGGGCTCGAACCCATGTCCCCTGTATTGGCAGGCAGATTCTTAACCACTGCGCCACCAGGGAAGCCCTTGTGTTAATTTTTACAGTCTATTAATATTTCTAATAGTTGTACACTCTCCTCCCTCTGTTAAGGGGCCTCTGGCATTAAGCTGTGGCTGGTATCTAGAGGAGATTAGCAGTTGTCTCAGCTCTGGGATTGAGCCCGCTGGTGTCTCTTGATCTAGATTTGAAGGGGATGACTAGTAATTTATTACAGTGAATAATATTTAAAATACTTAAGTCAATGTGTGATTTATTTTTTCTATTTATATTTTAAATGTGAATTGTATTGGCTTCCTCATTAGCCCTGTAATGCTAACTCCCATTCACTTGCATTGTGGGCTTTCTTGAATGGGTTAGGGAGGGGTAGATGAAGCAGTGATCAGATAGTCAGGGAGCCAGCAGCCTCCTTATCTGTGGTGTCATTCTAGAGAACAGTAATGAACGAGGTTACCTTACTAGTTTGTTCATTATGACTTGTTCTACAGTAGTGTCTGGGATCTCTTGTTTTATAGTTCCATCTTTTCTTTCCACTTTTACCCAAAGATAAATACTCAGTAAGGAATAAGGCAAGGCTACGTGAAGAAAACTTGAGCAGGATAATGATACACCTGTGTGGTAGATGAGCAGGAATGATGCTATATGCATTTCTTAGTTATGACACAAGAGTTATCACAAAATCAGTTTCACAACATGATACATTAGTGAAATTTTTAGGAATGCTATATAAATGTAAACATAAAGTCGATACATTGTGATTTTAACAGAAAGATAAGACTTGTTTATTTTTTAAGTGTATGGATTTCCTTACTTCATCTGCAGAGTATATATCTGAAAAAAAGTCAACATCAAATTAAAAACTCAAGCTCAATTAGAAATTTGACTAGCCATATTTATTTTTTCTTTATAAAAAATATGTATCTTAGGGACTGATTTCATTACTAATATGCTTATTATTTAATGATTAAAGTACCAGAAAAAGTTTAGTGTTCTTTACTTTCATACATGTGAATGTACATTGTTGGAGAGGAAGTTAAGAACTCAACATAGTTTTCAAGACATACTCAGAAGGTAGCGTTTTTAACATCATTTCATATATATTTGTTGTACTAGGAGATTCTCAGAGTACTCATAGGGGCCACTTCTCACTTTTGATTGTCCGGAACTGGAACATCTTTATTTGGAGGAATTCCAAGGTAATTGGGGGGAGGGGGCATTGAAGGAAGCCAAAAGGCTGGAGTTGAGTCCTCACTCAGCCTTCTTTTATCTTTATGAAAGACAGCTTGGGCCTGAACCAGGCTCAGCTTGTTATTTGCTCCCATCTGAATGGAGGCACCAGGACAGCCAGTGGCCCTGGCAGGTGTAGCTGTGGTGGAGGTGAACCCAGCAGCACCAGGCTGGTGTATGAAGGCTGTTCCCGTGGCAGGATTTTAGCCATGCCTCACTTTCCTTGCTTGCTCTCCATTTCTAGGCCTGGCTCTCCACGCTTCTGGATGATTCTGGGGACTAGCTAATATTCTTCTGGTATGTCTCTGCTGATAGACTTCTTGTTTTTGCAACCAAAAATCCCAGTGAATAATGAGTCTGTAATTTCCATTGTTGCTTTTATTTTATTTTATTATTATTTTTGAAGTTTTTCAGTTTTATTTATTAATTTACTTTGGCTGCACCACACGGCTTGTGGGATTTTAGTTCCCTGACCAGTGACCGAACCCGGGTGCACGGCAGTGAAAGCCCGAGTCTTAACTGCTGGACCGCCAGGGAATTCCCTCCGTTGTTGCTTTTAATATGCCAGTATCCATGTCATAGGTCAGAATTAAATTGTCTTCATACCCTAATTAGCTTACTTGTTAACCGAATATTTTCATCAAGTATTTCATTCAGGTTCTTAGAGGGCTCAGTACGCCTTACTAGAGATTGGAGATCTCCCAGCTTGTTATAAATGTTTAAAGCTCCTGCTTTTGACTGCATTAGTTAGGAAAACTCGTTCCTTTTGATTTGCTTGGGTTGAGCCAAATCAGCTTCTAAAATGGGTCCTATTTTACCAGCACAAAAATAACATTAATTGTAACCCTTCATTTGTAAGGTTGCCTCAGGGCTGCCCCAGCTGATTACGTAGATCATCTAGGGGACGGTTATGGGTTGAACTGTGTCCCCTGAAAAGATGCTGAGGTCTTGTGGCAGCACTTTAGTCCCAACCCCGTGTACCCGTGAATGTGAGCTTATTTAGAAATAGGGTTTTTGCACATGATTAAAATGAAGTCATTAGAGTGGGCCTGATCCAGCATGACTATGACTTTATACAGTATAAGGGGAGATTTGGACCCAGAGGCAGACATGTACAGAGGGAAAAGGATGTAAAAGCATGGGGAGAATACCATCAATAAGGCAAGGAATGTCTGAGGCTGACCAGACCTGGGAAGGGGCCTGGAACAGATTCTCCCCCCCAACCCTCAGAAGGAACTAACCGTGCCAAAGTGATCATAGACTTTTATCCTCCAGACGGTGAGATGATGAATTTCTGTTGTTTAAGCCACCCAGTTTGTGGTACTTCGTTACAGCAGCCCCAGGAAACTAAATCAGAGACCGTTACTAATTTAGGCAAGCCTAGTCTTGTATCCACCGGGCTACATACTCTCTGAGGGCGCTTACTCTGCTGAAAACTGCTGAGGGCAGCTCTGCCACCAACTGCATTTAATGCGTCTGATCACGGTGTACCAGCTGGTCTGCTCTATCATCGGCATTAACTGAGGAAAATTCTTGACGTACAACCAGTTCAGATAAATTAATTAAAATCCCTAACACTGTATGACTTGAACATTTTTATTTTTAGGAAACCTCTATTGGTCTTCAATTCTGTACGTAAAGCCATAAAATTTAGTAGTCTTACTTAAAATATCCTTTATTTACTGTTCTTTCCTACCTAAAAACTGCATGTATTTTTCTTGTTTTGGGGGCAAGAAGGGGGATAGGGAGGGTTATTAGATGGCAGGGGGCTGATAATCAAGGGAAGTGATACCAGTGATGAACTGGCAGAGTTTTCCGTCAGTCATATCGTCTTGGGTTTTAGGTGTTTGCTCGAGAGAAGAAGTAACTACCAGAGACAAGGAGTATATCTTCAATTTTATTGTTTGGAACCTACAATTGCAAAGTGTTTTCAGGTCATTTCTTAAACCACTGAATAATACATGTACACATATTTAGAAAACTTACAAATGTTTTTAAAAAATTTGTGCTCCAGTAGGATTTACCCTATTTTACAGGCCAAGCATAAGAAAATATACCCCAAATGCAATCTTATTGACATTTTCCTCTTACAGTCTATGGACATTTGGTTATTTAGGGCCAGTCTGTATATTCATAGAACCTAGGGCATTATTTTACTGCAACATTTATAAAGAGGTTGTGAAATTTAAAAGTATGTTTTGTATCAAGAATACCTAATAATTGTAAACATCAAGAAACATTCTCACTCTTCCATCCTTTAGCTGCTGTTCACTGACTCTGTGTAAGGTGAGGGCTCCCACTTCTTACTGAATCATTTCTGCAGTAACGAGCAGGCTCACGTGGTCCCCCCACCCCCTTAAGCAAGTTATTTGTTCCTTGTGCATAAATCATTCATTTTGTCGGTCTGGGTATTTCCTGAGCACCCGCTTAGAGGGACACTCTCTCAGGCAGGAGTTCTCATATCTGTGCCTGAGAATGACTGTTCAGATTTGGAGGCAGAGCTGACTTTAGATTTAGGTATACCACTTAAAAAAATCAACCTTGGCTCCGCTCTGGATTTCCCATAACCGGGGGAGGGGGCGGAGTGTGTGTGTGTGAGACTAGAATCAGTGCTGGCATCTTGCTGGGGAGAGACAGGTGCAGGTTTAGAGCTCCACCTTCTCCAAGAAAGTTCTCTTCTCTTGACACCTTCCCATTAGGAAGAAGGAAGAAAGAAGCAGAGGGAGAACTGATAGAATCTCATAAAATTATTAGTAGCTAACGCCATGTGTCAGGCATTCTGCTGCTACCCCCTAGCAAATACGTATTTAACAAGTGTAAATGGCCTTTAGCTCTGACTCTTCTATAATGTTAAGTTGGTCCTGGGCATCCTGGTCTTTCCTTCCCTTTCTCCCTGCCCCTTGACTGCGTTCTGCAGCTCCTGGCCTTTCCCATTATCTGCTGCACCTCTTGTCCCAGCTCCTCAAAGGCACACGGTGGTGCAGGAGAGAACGCCACCCTGTGTTTAGTCCGTTAAACTCCCTATAACAACAAACACGCGCTGAAAAGGAAAAAACAAGAGACCAGAAATAAAGCAGAGACTTGTTCTACATGAGTCTGGGGCTACTGATAGTTAAAAAGAGAGGAGACCATTAAGTATCTTCCTGAACAGTTAACTGGATATAATTGAAGGAGTGCGGGACTGAGGTCAGAAGGCCCAGGTGCAGGTCTGGGATCTGTCACTTTTAGCTGTATGGCCTTAAACATGTCAATTCTTTCTGAGCTTTAGTTCCCTCATCTGTCAAATGGGAAAAACAATACCTGTCTTGCCCACCAACGAAAGTTATGGGCATCAAATAAGATAATGTGCTTAAAACTCCCTTGTAAATGATTGATAAAGTTCTATGTAAATGTAAGTTGTTTGGTGGATTAGAATGGATATAAAGGAGAAAAATGATGTGTATGTTTTAAAATTGTTTATAAAGTTTTATTAAAATTTGCATATGTAAACTAAAGATGGTTGGCCTTCTCCTCATGGGGCCCCTTTTCATTTCTTTTCCTGTGTGTTCGTTAAGTTGCTGATCCTGAGTGATGTCAGTGTCTTCATTTACAACCCTCTAAGCTCAGCTTCTAGGAGACTGCAAGGATGGTCCGCACCATCACAAAGCCAGTTCCTAAAAGGTAGACTTGAATGTCACTTGACAAAAAAATACAGTTCCATTAATGGCAAGGAGAATTTTTGGCTATTGGTATAAAACTGTGATCACTGACAAAACGGAAAGAAGTATTAGAGAAAAACTTCCATGGCAATGACTTCCTGCAGAAAACTGGATCCGACCTTCAACTGCTGGATAAATTACTCTCATTTTTGAGATGTATGCGGAAACCACGTTGATATCTTGGTCACCTAGAAAAATACGTACATTATTTTAACTACAGAAAAAGTAATTATCAATTAACAGTAAGAAGGGGAAAGCCAATGTACTTCTGGAAAGTCCTTTGTAATTAGATGTAAGAGGGAAGATATTCCTTTCATAAGCAGGAATAAAGTGTCACAGAAGACAAGAACAATGGCGATCATAAGTGCAAAGAATCTGATTGCTTTTTCATGTTCCAGATGTGAAATGTGCCCATTGTCCAATATTGGATAATTGGGGGGAATAAATCGTCTAAGCTCTGAGATGACTCAGGATAGAGGCTCCTGTCATATGCCTCTGAACCACTCCGGACTGAGGGATTAGGGAACTGGGTCAATATCAGTTAGCTGAGACATAAAAAGTGGCTTGTTTTTTTTTGGCTTGCCTGCTCAGGAATCATTTTCACGTTAACTGATGGTGAGGCAATGGAGTCTTCACTTGCAAAAGAGGGGAGAACCGACAAATACTAATTGCCTGTAACTACAACAAACCCCTAGGGACCTGACAGACTTTTATTTTAAAAATGCCACACTACAGGGCTTCCCTGGTGGCGCAGTGGTTGAGAGTTCGCCTGCCGATGCAGGGGACACGGGTTCGTGCCCCGGTCCGGGAGGATCCCACATGCTGCGGAGCGGCTGGGCCCGTGAGCCATGGCCGCTGAGCCTGCGCGTCCGGAGCCTGTGCTCCGCAGCGAGAGAGGCCACAACAGTGAGAGGCCCGCGTAACGCAGAAGAAAAAAAAAAGCCACACTACAAATCATATATCTGATAGGGCGGTTAATATCCAAAGTATATAAAGAATGTATACAACTCAAATACAGATGATCAACAAGCACATGGAAAGCTCAACATCACTAATCATCAGGGAAATGCAAATAAAACCACAATAAGATATCACCTCACACCTGTTGGAACGACTGTTATCAAAATGACAAGAAATAAGTGTTGGTGAGGATGTGGGGAAAAGGAACTCTAGTGCATTGTGTGCAGAAATGTAAATTTGTGCAGCCACTATAGAAAATAGTAGGAGGCTCCTCAAGACATTAAAAATAGAACTACCATATGATCCAGCAATTCCCCTCCTGGATATTTATCTAAATAAAATGAAAATAGTAATTTGAAAAGATATATGCCCCCCCC